TGTAAAGCCTCTTAAGCAGTCATTTTTACCTAAAGACAAATGCTATGCTATTCACTAGGAAAGACCAAATGTTTAGAAATATTTAGTTAACAGTTTGTGGAACTGTGTATCTTTGAAAGGAATAAAATTACAGATGTCATGAAAATTATCTGCAAAAGCTTAATGAAAGTTACGAACATCATTCATAAAAGGAGTCTTTTTACTCAGCCATATATCCGTGTGTACTGAAAAGGGTCAGGCCTGTAAAAACACAAGTCTCCTCTGAATCTTCTGTGGCCACTCCATTCTCAACCCCTTTCCTTTTGTGTGCTGGAATTTTTAAGCATTCTTTCCACAGTTCCGACAGGACGTGCCCCCTGGTGGAAACACTTGCAAACTCTGTGCAGACCTCTCCTTCCTAGATCAGAGCAGAGGTCTGGACTTCTGCTCTAAAATGGCAGCACGGATACACGCACTTACTACGTTTCACCCATGCATACCTCCGTAAAACTACTACTCAGAAAAAAAAAATTTTTTAAGGCATAAATCCATAAAGACAAAGATATTTGGAGAGGAGAAAGTAACAGACAAGGATGTCAACCAGGTGTTGGAAACTGCATAAGTGGTAACTAAATTTGCACGACAGAAGGAGCTGAAGCCTAACTCTAACCTTAGCAAGGAAAAGCTGCTGCAGGCCACTCTGGGCTTGAGGACCTAAAGGGCTGCTGGGGAATATTTCTGAAGGAAGAAGGGAAAACCAAAAACAAAGAGCTGGAAGGAAGTCTGAAAGGAATGGTTAGGTTCCAAAACCCTGAGATTACAAAACATTTCCCCTTTCTTGTCTAAACAAAAGATTCATAGCATAGGGTGGTCTGCAGGAATTGCAGGGATGGGTGAGGAGAGAATACAAACAGTCCCAGTGAAATCAGGGAGATTAATCCCAAGTGAACATATGGAACACCTTGAGATTCCCCTGCCTGGTTCCCAGACAAAAGAAGATTAGAAAATTCTTTTGTAGGATTTTGATTAACCCAAAAGCTCCTAATATTTAAAGATAGCTCAAAAAAAAATCAGCTTGTCACCTTAACTCCCTATAAAAAACCTACCAGTATCACACTCGAGCTTCTATCTAAAAAATAAAAAAAAAAAAACCTACCAGTCAAAAAACCTTGCCTATGCACAGAGCTTCCTAACAGTGCTTAATTCTAATATGAATTGCAATTAATCAGATTAGCCAAAGATCACCAGACATTTGAAGAAATTCTTCACCATTAATACCAGAGACAAGAAAAAAAAAGAGAAAAGAAGAAAAAAGGAAAAGGAGAAAATATATAAAGAAGAAAACTTTAAAAGAAAAAACTGTATTCCTAAAACAAAGACACTGCATCCATGAAACAAGAACAGGATGCTATAACAAAGGAGCATTCAAAGCACAAAAAGGGAACTTCTGGGAATTAAAATATGTACAGAAATTTTTAAAAAGCCAATATATGATTTCAAAGATCAAGTAGAAGAACTCACTTCAAAAATTATAACAAAGACAAACAGATGGACAAGAAAAGGAAACTTTCAAAGAAATAATATTAGAAATTTCCCAGAATATTAGGACATGAATCTCCACACTGAAAGGACCCACCCAGCACCTAGTAATTTCAAAAGATACTGAACAAGGCATTAGGGCGTATCACTATAGCATTTCAGATCATGGGGAATAAAGACCAATAAGGAACCTAAAAAAGAGGGGGAGGGGAAGAATCGAAAATATTAATAGCAACACTTAAACACAGAAAAGAGAATAATGTATTCAAAGTTATGAGGGGGAAAACTGTTTAAAAAAATCAGAATTCTGAACAGTCTAGCTACAACAAGCAGGAATATAAAGAATACTTCAGGCCGGGCGCGGTGGCTCATGCCTGTAATCCTAGCTCTCTGGGAGGCCGAGGCGGGCGGATTGCTCAAGGTCAGGAGTTCAAAACCAGCCTGAGCAAGAGCGAGACCCCGTCTCTA